AGTCCCCTCTATTACCCCTTCTTTTCAGGTAATTCACATATGGAAAAGTCTAGAGGTTTTGTGTTTGATCTCAAGATTTTTTTAAAACTTGACCTGTGTATTTTTCCCCATGTAAATTTTGAGCATGCAACTCATCCTCTGGTTTTCCTCCTTTGCTTTTTTCATTTCTCTGAGAGCCATGCACATGTTCTTCCCTCTATATTTGAACACTTATGTTCACCATTTCTTGATCTAAGAGATGTTCTTAAATTGAGATCCTAAAATAGCGAGTAGCCTCCCTTATAAAAAAGAACATTCAGCATTTTTATTGTGGCTTCATTCTTGTGGGTTGACGAGTACACTTATATTAGTTTGTTTGTGGAAAGAGAGGAAGCCATACATTTAGCTATGTCAAAGAAGAGAGTGCTGTATGTATCCACTGATGTAAAAACTAAGAACCTTGGAGCAGGAGGTGAGGTTCAGTAGTAGATCTTGTGCTTAGTATGTTCAAGCCTTGATTGTATACACACACACACACACACACACACACAAATCTAAACAAAATTAAAAGAAAATTAGATGCTGGCAATTTAGTTCAATGATAGAGCACTTGACTAGCATGAGTGAGGCCCTGAGTTCAGTCCTAGCACTGCAAAAAAAGAAAGGGAGGAAGAGAAGGAAGAAAGAAAAATGTTAGTAGCATGTGACACAGAGCTCATTTTCCTTATGTTATAGTGAGTTTTATAAAATTAATATTAAAAAAATTACAAGAGCTGGGCAAGGTGGCACACACTGGCAATCTCTGATGCCAGCCTCAGCAACTTAGCAAGGCCCTAAGTGATTTAGTGAGACCCTGTCTCAAAATGAAAAATAAAAAGGGCTGAGGATGTACCTCCATGGTAGAGTGCTGGGCTAGCAAATGTGAGGCCCTGGGTTTGATCCCCAGTTCTACAAAAAGAAAAGAAAAAGAAAGAATAAAATGGGTGAAGCTCATGTAGAGATGCTAGAGGAAATAAGAGTGGCCAATTAATGTAAAATATGCTTTAAATTCATAGAAAGTTAAAAAAAAAAAAGAAACAAAAGTGATGTTCAGCAAAGATTCTTTTGAAAGTGGTAAAGCAGTAATTAAATGCCCAGTATTAGCCAGAGTGTGGAGAAATGGGTGAATGGCTGGGCAGCTCTCACATTTTGTTTGTCCATAGTATTTGAGTCTTTGTCTTTTTATTATTATTATTATTTATTTGGTACTGGAGATTGAAAACCAGAGGCTCTTTATCACTGAAGAGCTGTATCACTGAGCTGCATCCTTAGCCCTTTTTATTTTTATTTTGACACAGGGTCTTGCTAAATTGCTGAGACGGGCCTCAAACTTACCATCCTCCTGCCTCAGCCTCTGGAATTGCTGGGATCACAGGCATGTGCCCCTGCACCTGCTGTATTTGAGACTTCTTAGCAAGTGTATATATTTAAAAGTAACAATAAATATATGGTATTTCCTGTTATCAAGTAAACCTTAATTTGAATTCCATTCTTGAACTTACTGAGGCAAGCTCTACCCTCTTTAAGCCAGCCTCCTTATTCATAAAGTGAGTAGCAAAACCATAACTATCTCCAGTAAGTAAGTGTGAAACTAAATGAACAGCATGTGGACATGAGGGGCTAATAGTAAGCCAGCCAGCCTTCATGAGCAACAGCCTCTCCTGTCCTGGAGGGATAACTGGTGATGTGCTTGATATTTCTGTCAAAGGTGTCACTCAAAGGTGTGGGACTGAAAGCTGCCTAGACCCACGGGTAAGCCAGGGCATAGTCAGTATGTGGCAGGGCAGCACTTCACAACTGGGTCTCAAGGATGTGATACCTTTTGCTGGAGGAAAGGTAGGTGAATACACTGGGAAGGGGTTGCTCTGACACTAGGCAGAACAGCTTTGAAGACAAGCTTCGAAGTCCTCCTGGGGCGGTCAGGTTAGAGTGATGTTTCTCTGTAATCACAGTTACTCTGCAACCTGGCAGTGTCTGTGGCTTTCATCCTGACCCCATTTCTTTTCTGTCTCTCCTTCCTAATTCTGATCGTTTCACCTTCATTGTACAGACAGATCCTCTGCACCCGTTAGCCCATCTCCCTAGTGGAAACAGCATGCAGAACTATAGCACTATCTAGTGCCACAACCAGGATAATGGCATTGATGTAGTCTCTAGCTGCAGAACTTGTCTGTCATCACCAGAATCCCTCAGGTTGCCCTTTGGTGGCCACACCCGCCTGCTCCCCCTTGCCCCCCCATTGCAAGTCTGTTCATTTCTATATTTTCAAGAGCAGTATACCAAAAGAATCACATGGTGTGTGATCTTTAGGGATTAACCTTTTTCTCTGAGCATAATTCACCCAAGCTGTATATATCAATACCATTTCTTCACATGGCTGAGTAGCTTTCCACATAGGGACACACCAATTATTTCTCATTTACTTCTGGTTTTGACTCTTGGGAATGAAGTTGATATGGACATAATGTACAGGTTTTTGTGTGAATGTGGTTTTCATTTCTCTGAAGTAAATCCAGAAGTACAATTTCTAGTTCACATGATAATTGTGTGTTTAGTTTTTAAAGAAACTGCTATTTTCCAGAAGTAAAGGAAACTGCACCATTTTACATTCCTGTCAGCAACGTATGAGTGGTCCAGTTTCTCTACATCCTCATCAGCATTTGGTACTACTGTGACTGTGTTTTATTTTAACCATCCTGATAGGTGTATAAGGATATTGTGTTTTGAATTTACATTTCCCTAGGGAATGGCATTGAGCAATTTCATGTATTTATTTGCCATCTGTATATCCTCTTTGGTGAAATATCTCTTCAGGTCTGTTGCACATCTTCTATTTCAGTTGTTTTTTACTGTTGAGTTGAGAGAATGTGTGTGTGTATTTTGGTTGGTTGGTTGAACATGCTAGGCCAGCACTCCACCCCTGAGCTATATCCCAGCCCTGGAGAGATCTTTTTGCATTGCAGATGTTATCCCTTTGTTGGAGGAGTATTTTGCAAAAGTTTTTTAAGATATTTTTCTCCTAGTCTTTAGTTTGTCTTTTCATCCTCTTAACAGAATCTTTTACAGAGCAAAAGTTTTAATTTTGATGAAGTTCAATATATTATTTTCTCCTTATGAATGTTCTACTGCCATGTCAAGTGTAGAAACTCTGCCTAACCCTAGATTCTGAAGGATTTCTCCAAACATAGTATAGTCTTGTGTTTTTCATTGAAGGCTGTGGTAACTTAGGGTTCATTTGTATGTAAGGTGTGAGGCTTAGCCAAGTGCTGTCTGTCTGCCTGCCTTCCTTGTGGAAGTCAATTGATCCAGCACCGTTTTTTGAGAAGGTTCTGCTTCTGTATCTGTGTCAGCAATCAATTGTATATTGTAAAATTTTGTCTAATTTAAGATAAAGTAATTGAATTTCTTTCAAAAATTAATTGTGCGTATTTACATGGGTCTACTTCTGGGTTCTCTGTTCTGGTGCATTGATGCCCGTCTGTCTCTCTGCCAGTTCCAACATTTCTAACTTCATGCCAGTATAATGCGTCCTGAAAATAGGTAGACTGATTTTTCCCCACTTTATTGTTCTTTTTTTAAAATTGTTTGAGCTACTCCAGTTCCTTTGCCTTTACATACGCATTTTAGAATAATTTATCTATCAAAAAAGTCTTGAGGTTTTGATAGGAATTGTGTAAAACCTATATATCAGCTTGGGGTAGACTCATCTTTATTATGTCAAGTCTTTCTATCCATAAGCATATTGTGTCTGTCCGTTTATTTAACACTTCTTGATTTATTCCCCAGCACATTGTTGATTACAACTCTGTGTTTTGTTTTTTGAGTCATTTTAAATGGCATTACATTCTTAATTTCAGTGTCCACACGTTCATTACTAGATTGGTATATTTATCTTGTAGGCTTATGACCTTGTCAAACTTATTTGTTAATTCTAGGAGTTTTCGTAGATTCCTTGAGATTCTCTCCATTGCAATCATGTTATCTGCAAACAGGGACACTTTTATTTCTTCCTTTGCCCTCAGAATGTCTTCTATTTCATTTTTTGCATAGTTGTACTGGTGAGTACCTCCAGAGAAAAGGGACATCTTTGCCTTGATCCAAAATATAAGAAAGTATTCACTTTTTTCTCAGCAAGAATTATAATGTTAATCTGTGTGTTGTGGGCTTTTATAAATGCTGTTTGTGGAAAGGGAGTGATCTAGGGATTTGGGGAGCTGGGCAAAATCTGATAGTTTCTCTACTAGTTTGCTGGGATGCTGTTTGAATAATAGAAATCATAGAATTTTTATTGGAACATTCAGATTTAAATTTTGTCTCCCTCCCCCACCTTCAGATGGAAGGCCTGGGGCAAATACCTTACCCATATCAAATCCCATTTCCTCCTCCACAAAAGGGAGGCAGAGGCCAGACCTGCTTCCTCCCTGGATTGGTGTTAAGAGTGAAAAGGACAGGAGAATGTATGAGGGATCTTATCACCTGCATGTGCATGAAGAGGAGCTAGAAAACCCCCAGAGTTAGTAAGGTTTCCATCCTGCCTTACTAGAACTCCACCCAACACTTTAATTAATCAATCTTTGTGGAAAATTGAACAAATTCTGACAGATCATTAGAACATGTATTTGGGGTCTGCAAAAGACTCTCTGTTCCAGGAATATTTGCTGTGCCAGGGACTCAATGTTTGGAGGTAGACAACCTGGTTCTCTTACCGGCTTCTCCACATACCATCTGTGTAAACTTGGGCAAGTCACAAAACCTCCTAAGTTACGGCATTTGTTGTCATCTATAAGCCGGGAATCATGGCAGACCTAATTCCTAGGACTGTTATGAAGACAAATGAGTTAATTTATGGACTATGTTTAGCAATGCCTGACATGTTCGATACCTGCAATGACATGTTAGTGATGATCATTATTGATGACTATAAAGGACACATTCTGATTTGTGAATCACCTTTCTTAAAAATAAAATTGTTTACTTTGCAGATATTTAAAAAAATGGATTTGACCAACCATGGACTTATTCTACTGCAGCAGTTAAACGCTCAGCGAGAGTTTGGTTTCCTGTGTGACTGCACGGTTGCAATCGGCGATGTGTACTTCAAGGCACACAAATCAGTTCTTGCTTCATTCTCCAATTACTTTAAGATGTTGTTTGTCCATCAGACCAGGTAACTAAAGTGGTTGATAATAATCTAATGACTATAGACTTCCTAACTCCATGTTCCTCTGTCCTCTGAGCACGCTCTTTGCCTTCATCCAGTCCATGGGTCTCTCTGCCTCTCCCTAGGCTCCTAGGTGCCCAGTTCCCTTGTGACCCTGTTCCCTGCCCTTCTTGGTTCCTCATGCTTTCAGCAGCACTTGAGAATCACCGACCTCTCTGCCCCATGCAGCCCCTCCCCCTCTAGATAGCCTCGGTGGGTGTCACCTGCAGGGTCTGGATGGCAGGTCCAGGTCCATTGTCTAAGCCCTCCCTCCTGCAGCCCCAGTGCCTGAGCGTCTGCCAGGCTTACAACAAGTCCTTCCTCTTAGTCCCATTCTGATGAGAAGCTGGAGGACATGAATTCCCCGAATTTCCCTCTTTTCTGTCTTTGCTCAGGTTTTCTTCTTCCTCTCTCTCCTAAGTGTCTTAGAGAAAGATCCTCTTGGTGTCTGAGGAGAATGGTCCTCCGACCTCTCTTGTGTCTCTCAGGTTTCCTTCTGTACTTCATACTTACTCTTGGTCCCTTCCCCGTGCCCCGCTGGTCTGTGGGAGATCAGGACCCTCGCCTTGCTGTCCGCTTGAGTTCAGCACTGTTCTCCTCTAGTTGACTGTGAACGTTCTCAACAGAGTCCCCTGTGTCCTCTTGTGCACCTTCCTCATCTCACCCTCTTCCTGTCATTTGCACCGTGGTTTCCTCCCATCACTCCGCTGACGTCGTGTCTCAAAGGTCACCCTTTCTCCCAGTGTCCATCCTACTGTCCTCAGCAGCACTTCTGCTGTCTTCTCCCAGCTGAATCAGAATTCCTGATTCGTGTGACTGAATGCCCCTGTTCTTTACCTCGGGGCCCAGGCCTCCCTCAGCTTTGGTCTCGGGCTCCCTTGCCCTCCTTGTGCACTCTCCTGTGAAGCCGGTGCTTATCCTAGGTCTTGCCTTTGCTGCTGGGAACTTGCAGGTTACAGCTCTGGCCACTGTCTTTCTGTTTGCAGAACCCATTCCCAACCCCTGTCCCCCATCCTGGCAACCCACTGATGTCTCAGCTTTGACTGTCCCCTTTGTCTCATTGGCATATCCAAAATGAATTCAGTCTCTACCCTCAAGCCCCTGACCTGCCTGTTGCATCTCCAGGTAACCCAAGCTTAACATGTCTTTCAGATCACATCTTATCAACCCCCAGATTGTGTTTCCTTCAAAATACCTTTCACTCTTGTCCTTCCGTTCTGGCTTCCGTTTTCTGTTCATTCGTTTTCATATCCTGTCAGGTTGCTGTCCCACACACTGTTTGGTTGCAGAGTGCCTTTGATGGGAAGCTACTAAACTGGGTGAGGTCTTTGATGATCGACCACAAGGACACCCATTGCATAAAAAACAATGTTCAGGCTCCTTACTCTGGCCGTGGGTCTGGAGCCTGATCCTCCGGCCTCGTCCCTTGGGGACATTCCACAGGACACTTGCCCTGGCTTACTCACCATTCCCTGAGTCCAGCTCTCAGCTCTCTGCCATGGCACCTCCCTTGTCAAGCAGACAAAATAATCAAAAGTGCCCTCCTTCCTCCCTCATGGGTATGACCCCAGCACTATTCATGCCACTTCCAGGGGCTGTACGTTTTTCCCAAATGGTTGTTGTTTGTGTTTTTATTTCCACTCCTCATTTGTAAGTTTCTTGAGGGCAGAGATGGGGTTTTACACAGCTTTGTGGACACCACAGAGGATAACTGAGATGTGTGCAAGCAATAGAACAGCCACTCAATAAACATCTGGAAGAGCAAAAGGGCCAGTAACAAAATAACAGGATTGCAGGCTTAGTGGCGACAGCAGGTTGGGCACATGGCTAAGTGGTAGAGCACTGGCATGGCGCTAGAAGGCTCTGGGTTGGATCCCAGCAGTGCAAAAAAGAAAGAAAGAAAGAACCCCTTTAACTCTACTGTGTTAGAGACTTCACGACCAATGAGGTCTTGGCACTTAGTAGCTTCAATACAGTAAATTAAATGATCTCAAAAAAGGATATTTTAATTTTGAGGAGTAAAGACAATGTAATGGGCTTTCGTTAAATGCAGGAAACTTAAGTATAGGGTAGTGAACAAGTGTCTTTCTAGTAAGGGAGTGTGATCTTGGTGTCACAGGAGGTCCTAAGTTTAAGCAGTAGTGTGAATTACACCAGAGGTGACAAGAGCAGTTTGGGCAGCTACTGCTGGCCAGCCTTGTGCAGCTCCAGGTGCAGAGTGCAAGCTCACTGAGGCAAACGCTGGCCAGAGGCCCGGAGCATTCCACATAGCACTGTGACCACGCCTGGCACTCAGAGACTCAGAGGACAATGGGAATCTTCAGGTTTTACTTAGGGTATTTTATGCCCTGTAGTTACCACTAGATGTCTCTGTCTCTGTCTCTGGTTTATGTCTAGAGACTGAGCCCTCAAAAACGAGCTGTTGCAGGGTAGGTCTTGCCAAGTGCAACCACTGATGATGTTCAGCACTGTTTAAAATTCCTCACCTTAAAATTCTAGTGAAAGAAAAAATGAACATGGAAATTACCACAAATTGAACATGGAAATTATCTGACTAAACAAAAAATAAAACATTATTCACATTTTTTCCTGCATAAAGTGTTAATGCCAAGCAAAAGTCCACAAATCATACATTAGGCGAGGTTATATTGTAGAGGACTAGAAGTGACCAGAGCTGGTCCACAGTGAGCTGAGAGGTCAGGCTGCCCAGGAGTAAGAGCAGTCAAGGATGGTGGTGGCTGGAATATGACATCTGAAACTTTGAAAAATGCCCCTGTTATCTAACTGTGTGTGTGGGTATGTGTATACACATGAGCTTCTGCTTTAAAATTTTTTTTAAACAAAGAAACTAAATTGGTGGCTGAAGACCTCCCTGGGCCCTGGGGTTCTGGCTGTGACCCCAGGGATAGGCTGCTTTCCTCTGCCTGGCCCTTGGCCAGCACTGCCTGCCCTGGTAGTCCTTATTCTCCAGCCTGACTGAAGTGTGGGCAGTGGGCTCCCTAGCTCCTTCTTGGCTTTACCACTAGGGACTGTACACAGTTGCTTAAAATTTAAGAGGTTTATTGTGGAGTAACCATTCTCAAGGAATAGACAGGACAGCCTATCCAACCAGAAGTAAGAGAAATTATAACACACTAAGCATTTTTTGGACAAGGACGCTAAGTAATACCCTTCATGGATGCTTTAAAGTTGGGGGGAGGCCCCCTTTAAATTTCCACTCCCTCTATTTCCTCTTTCTCCCATGAGGACTGGTCTGGGAATAATATGTATCTCTGAAGGCATAAGTTTCCCTGGACCTCTGCCTGATTCTGGAAGGGTTCCTCCAGTGCCTTCTTCCCCTGGGAGATGATTGTTTACATTACTAAAGTCATCTTCGTCACATAAAATTCCTGAAGCTTTTTTGATTATTAAGTTTCACCAGAGCATCTAAATATACTACACTCTTCAGATACTTTTGTTGGCACTCCTCTTGTGCTAAAAGAAAACACCCCCATATTTACATTCCTGTTTCAAGGAATATAAGTAACTTAAAGGAATAAAAAAGATTCCAAGTGAAAATATAAGTGATCTGTGTGTGTTTTTTAAAAGAAAAGAAAAGCAGTCACATTTACTCCTCCATTTGGACTGTCAAAAGGATGCTAATTGTTTTTCTTTGGTTTGGTTTTGAAGTTTATTATTTATTTATTCTGTAGTAATGAATGCTACTGAGCTGCACCCCAAGCCCTTTTTATTTTTTGAGACAGTGTCTCAACTATTAAGTTGAACTTGCCTTGAACTTGCAATCCCCCTGCCTCAACCTCCCGAGCAGCTGGGGCTGTAGGTGTGCACCACCAAGCCCACAAAGGGATACTAGTTTGTATGCTTGATTTTCCTCTTTGGCTTCCATCCTCTGCAGTCAGGCACAAATAACCACGTGGTTATTTGTATGCAGTCTTCTTAGTATACACAATTGACGGCTGTGCAGTAATTATTCAAAACTGTCCTGTCACAAGTCATTGTTCAAATCACTTTGTTCTATTTATAAATTTTAGCATATTAAAAAATATTCACTAATAACAAAATTAACATTATTACCAAAACATTCAAAAAGAGAACTAAAATACCAAGAAGTCTTATAATCAAATTGTTATGAATTCTAAAAGCATATTGAGGACGTAATCCCTGAAAATGCATTGTTTATAGAATGTATTCACTTGGTGGGTGATAATGTGCCTCATGATATGTAGTTATATAAATCATTGATTTCTGATGATGTGTTAGAATTTCTGTCATTACTGGTGGTCTGAGGAGAGTCCTTGGGGACCTCTTCCTTATTGTTGTTGCCTGATCAGGATGATGTTTCTGAAGCAATGCAGTAGAGTCTGAAATTCAGAAAATCACCTGTGCCACCAGCTGCTTTAGTTGCCTCAGATAGGTCACTTAGCTTTTGGTATCTCAGGTTCCACATCTGTCAAATGAGAATCATCAGCACCCCCCGTATTTGCTATACAGAATTGTTTTGCTGCTCTGAAGTTTCTTAGTGAGATGGCTTTGGGACTAAATAATCTAGATTCAAACCCCAGTTCTGCCACTTGCCAACTCTGTGATACTGAGCAGAGGGTCAGTCCCTTGGCCACACCCTCACCTGGAAAATAAGCATGACTGGGAGTTAATGAGGGATTGCCCCTGCAGCCTGCTGGCGCTGGTGCTAATGATTGCATCCAAAAGGGACCGTGTTGTGCCACAGCGGCTCTTTAATGCCACCTGGCAGCACCAGGAAGGTGACTGGCCTCTCTGCTGTCCCCCCGCTTTGCTGCCCTTCAGCCCTCATGCAGGAGAGAGCCGTGGAGCTCCAACATTGTGAGCGTGGCCAGCACTGTCCGTGCTAGTATAGCTCCCCGGGTCAGCTCAGACCTGAAGACACTTTCTAATCAGACTGTTGACTTACTGTAAAGATCTGCTGCTAGGCTGTGGGGTGGGTCAATACAGAACTCTAGACTTCTAGCTAAAAGCTCTGCTAGGCCAAGAGATTCCAACAGGCAGAAATGAGAAATGTTATTTCATTGTTTTCATGTGTCTGTTTTTTTCTTCTTTGGGCTTTATGTTATCATTTGAGACATCAGCTGACATTTACTCACACATTTTACTTGTTTCTTCCAGCGAGTGCGTCCGTTTGAAACCAACTGACATACAGCCTGACATCTTCAGCTATCTCTTACATTTGATGTACACTGGAAAGATGGCGCCTCAGTTGATCGACCCTGTTCGATTAGAGCAGGGGATCAAGTTTCTGCACGCCTACCCACTGATCCAGGAAGCCAGCCTTGCCAGCCAAGGCACCTTTTCTCACCCTGACCAAGTCTTCCCACTGGCCTCTTCGTTGTATGGCATTCAGATCGCAGATCACCAGTTGAGACAAGCCACCAAGATTGCCTCCGCACCTGAAAAACTTGGTCGAGAACCAAGGCCACAGACCTCCAGGATGAGCCAGGAACAGGTGCCAGAGGCTTCACAGCTGTCGCAGCTGACTTCCAATCTGGCCCAGGTGAACCGGACCAACATGACTCCCTCGGACCCCCTGCAGACCTCGCTGTCTCCAGAACTCGTCTCCACTCCTGTTCCTCCCCCTCCTCCTGGGGAGGAGACCAATCTGGAGGCCTCTTCCTCTGATGAGCAGCCTGCGTCCCTCACCATTGCCCACGTCAAGCCAAGCATCATGAAGAGGAACGGAAGCTTCCCCAAGTACTACGCCTGCCACCTGTGTGGACGGCGCTTCACCCTCCGGAGCAGCCTGCGAGAGCACCTCCAGATTCACACGGGAGTACCCTTCACGTCCAGCCAGCAGGGGGAAAGCCGCGTCCCCTTGTCTCTCTGCAGCAACGCCGCTGACCTCGGGAAAGACGCCATGGAAGTGCCTGAAGCGGGGATGATCAGTGACAGCGAGCTGCAGCACATCTCAGACTCCCCCATCATCGATGGGCAGCAGCAGTCGGAAACCCCGCCCCCCTCAGACATCGCTGACATTGACAACTTGGAGCAGGCTGACCAGGAGAGGGAGGTGAAGAGGCGGAAATACGAGTGCACGATATGTGGACGCAAATTCATCCAGAAAAGCCACTGGAGGGAGCACATGTACATACACACCGGGAAGCCTTTCAAGTGTAGCACTTGTGACAAGAGCTTTTGCAGGGCCAACCAGGCTGCACGGCACGTGTGCCTCAACCAGAGCATCGACACCTACACCATGGTGGACAAACAGACTCTGGAACTCTGCACATTTGAGGAAGGTAGTCAGATGGACAACATGCTGGTGCAAACCAACAAACCCTACAAGTGCAACTTGTGTGACAAAACGTTCTCGACTCCCAATGAGGTGGTCAAACACTCTTGCCAAAACCAGAACTCAGACGTGTTTGCCCTAGATGAGGGGCGGTCCATTCTCCTGGGCAGTGGGGACTCAGAAGTAGCAGAACCTGACCACCCAGTGTTAGCTTCCATCAAAAAGGAACAGGAAACCGTGTTACTAGACTGAATGTTGCTTGTCTTTTTAAAAACTGTCATTTTTACAAAAACTATCTTCTTTCCCTTCCCCCAGCTCAGAACTGTGCTTCTGCACAGTTCAGACTATGACACACACAGGTCCCTGTTCCCTTCTCCTCTTCTTCATCTCCCCATCCCAGCCCCACCTCTGGAAAGGCTTTGTGCATTAAAAACCTGGAATATATTTACTTTAATTCAGGGGATATTGGAAAGATAATGGTCGGTAGTACTTGTAAACTTAAAATAGATTTTGAGAAGTTTTAGATTATTTAAAAGCATACATGGAACTAATTAAGGGTCTATAACAAAACAAAACAACAAGAATATAATTTGGTAAGCTAAAATTATGACTTTCCCTGGGTAATGAGTCTTCCTTCTCAGAAAAACAATGTCAGAAAATACAGCATGCTTTTTAGAGATAAAGCAGGGCTCTGTACTATGCAAACCCTAGAAGGTGTGGGGAAACTTTAAACCCAAGAAAACGTTTTTAGTATTTATCCTCCAGGTGTCTTGTTTCAGAATGCACCCTTTGAGATTATGTCCAGTTAAGAGAAATCACTAGTTAGGAAATCTACTTTAACAAAACACAAAACAGAAAAAGTAATAATGTGATGGCAATCTTAATTTTTGGATAAAACATGACAAGCTGTGACTTTGTGTGTTTATAAGAGAAAATGTGGACACTTGCTATAAACAGGTGAATTAATGCACATGCCTTAGCTAATTGCTGGCTTCTTTCCAAGTTGAACAACAAAATGCTGTATTTTAGTTTCTGACACATTTGTTTTAAAAGTCAGATTTGAAAGTACTATATAGATTGTCTTTCTGGATAGAAAATGACATACCATTTTCTAGCAGTTGTCAGTGGGAAATTTGTTTCAGTACCACCCAGCTGCTTTTAAATCAATGTGTGCACTGCAGGGAAAAGGATATTGGAATATGCATCTTAAAGAGGAGGTGTGAGCAGGAAATGTAACTTTATTGAAAGTCAGTGCTAATACTTCACTGGGAACATTCATTGAAGTATCTAAAATGGCAAAGAGAAATCAGGACAAAATCTGATTTGCCGTTTGGAGAAAAAAACTTAATTTTGATGTGTATTCTTTTGATTTTTTTTTTTTTTCCTTAACACCTAAAATTTTCTCCACTGACCTGAAAGCAGTACAAGTTGTCCGTTAATCTTTCCATAGGCCAATAAGAGAATGAATGGTCTCACAGGACAAAATAGGAGCCAGAAGTAAAAACCGAAGGGGAAAGGGAAGGGGGAGAATAGTCAATAGCTATACTGTATGTACATGTTAAAAACTGAATATCCCATCATCCTATTGTATGTATAGTTGAGTTCTCAGATTTGTAAGTTTTTATACATCCTTTCATTGAATAAACATTTATTAAATGGGCATGTGATCTTAAGTCTTGTGTATCTATTTCCCCAGAGAGATACAGAACGGAGGGAGGCATGCACAGAAGCATTGAACTGAGAGTCATTTTCCTGCTGTCTGCAGGACTTTGGATGTTTCCCCTAACCTGAGTGGCATCTTCCAGATGTAAAATGAAGAAGTTGATAACTGCATTGGGTCTTGAAATTGTGAGAATCAAACAAGTGAACTCTACAGATGCTAGAAACAGTCAAAGGCTAACTAGGAACAGGCTTAGAGTCCATTTCCCTGACTTTCTTTAGAAGAAAAAAGGAGACCAATAGATGCTTGCCTAACAACAGGAATTCAAAGTACAATATAAACCAAAATTAATAAATGATGAATGGTTTCTACTGGTTTAATCATCATATATTTTTGTTTGTTTGTTTGTTCTAATTAGTTATACATGGTAGTAGAATATGTTTTGACACATCATACATAAATGGGTGTAACTTCTCATTTGTCTGGTTGTACATGATATTGTGTCACACAGGTCATGTAATCATGTATGCACATAGGGTAATAATTCTGATTCATTCTACTATCGTTCCTATCCTCTGGTTGAATCTTAAAAACAATTTACATCTCCCAACTCAAATGACAGCCTTGTATCAAGTTAATGTCTGAATATCTGTGAAAAGGTAAAATTAGGGGGAGCCTCTGCAGCCCTCCATCCACCTTGCCACCCCCCTGAGGCCTCAAAGGGATACAAGGTACAGCCAAAAGGCAGAAAGTCATGGGAATCACAAGGAACAAAGACAGATGTGGGCAGGATCCCAGCCAACCCCGGTTCAGCTCCTACAAGCTTGTACAGGGGAAAGGACAGGCAGGCCATGCAGAGGCTTGTAGTACCTGAGGCCACCTCCACCACGGCAGTCTGGGAAACTCCCTCCAATGAAAAGAGCTGGGTGTTGTAAATAACTGAAAACCACCCCACCAAAATGTTCATTTGCCTATTCATCTGTCTTGTCTTAAATGCTCCTTCGCTGAGCCCTGGGGCCCATCCCTGTAATGCAGCTACTCAGGAGCCAAGGCAGGAGGATCACAAGTTCAAGGCCTACTTGGGCCTTTTCTCAAAACAAAAAGGGCTCAGTGGTAAAGCATCCCTGTGTTCAATCCCCAGTACCCCAAAAGGAAAGAAATATCATATATACAATCAGAGCTTAACAACTCTGGGGTGCATCACCATCTTCTTGCAGGGTACCCACATCCTGCCTATGGGGTGTATACACATTTGCTGTCTTTTAATGAAATCTTTGCTTGTGCCTGACTCTTAATTTTTGAAGTGCTGGGGATTGAACCCAGGGCCTTGTGCATGCAAGGCAAGCACTCTACCAACTGGACTATATCCCCAGCCCCTTGTGCCTGGCTTTTGACACATCCCAGAATTCTTTTCAGCAGTATAAATCAAGAACCTGCCCAGGTCAAATTGAGGTCCGATTGCCCCCTTGGAGGAACCTCCTGGGACCTCTGTCCAGTGTCACTTTCTCTGCTTAACACCAATATATGCGGTTTGACCAGCACTTGGCAAATAACAAGTCTTGGGTCTTTTTTTTTTTTTTTTTTTTTTGGTACTAGGAATTGAATCCATGGGCAGGTGTTAACCCCTGAGCCAAACAAGGCCCGTTTGTATTTTCTTTTTTTTTCTTTTTTTTTTTTTTTTGTTTACTTAGAGACAAGTTCTTACTAAATTTCTTAGGGCATCACTAAGTTGCTGAGGCTGGCTTTGAACTTGCTATCCTCCTGTCTCAGCCTCCCAAGTCACTGGGACTTATAGGTGTATACCAAGCTAGGTCTTGTGTTCTTGCAATTGACAAACTTTCCATGCATCACCAAATAAAAGCGTGGGGAAGATGTGGAAGGAATGGCTTTTCTTGTTCATCTGACATATCTTTTTGTGTTTGGCTTTAGACCTAGATTGTTCCAAATTATAAAGGAAAAAGGTGATATTTTCTCAAACATGCAAGCATTTGTATGATCTATAACTGGGGGAAGGAGAATGGAAGAAAAACTTAGCCACCTGTTAACCTATTTATTCTGCTATTGAGGCAGTTTGCTTAAAGCCATTTTTTCATCTTGGTTCTACTTCTCAGAACTGTAAAAAGCAGAGGAGCTAATAGAGGGGCATAAAGGAACCTGTGCCGTTTCTAGCATACTTCTCTACTGCAAGGTGCTTTTCAACAACTTCTTTCCAGTACTGGGTGTCCAAGCCAGGCCTACACATGCTAGGTAAGTGCTCTACCACTGAGCTATATTCCCATCCCTTTTCACTTTTATGTTTTTATTTTGAGACAGGGTCTCACCAACTTGCCCAGACTGGCTTTGAACTTGTGATCCTCCTACCTTGGCCTCCTGAGTAACTGGGATTACAGGTATGCGCCACTGAGCCCAGTGATAAGGTACTTCCTAATAAGACAGGTGCAATGTGCACGTCTGTACATTAGCCATCAGAAGTACATGTTTGAAAGGCTCTGGGATTTCTTCTAAACCCCACAACCTCATTCTAAGTGTCTTTGTAATCTGCCCAAGTAATCAAATGCCCCAAATGATTTCCAAAGAGTCATCTGTACCATCTTCCACAAAGAATCCAGATGACAAAGCAAGATGGGATTTAGGTGATTTGCCAAATTCACACAACTTCTTAGTGATATTGTAGAGCACAGATGTCCCAATTCAGGGCCCTCTCTCCACCATTGTCACACTGCCTAGGAAAGAAACACTTCCTGGACTTTTGATGTTTATGATTTTTCAGAAAATCATAATTTTTTAGAAAAAAAAAATCCTGTAATCCCAGCTTCTCAGGAGGCTGAAGCAGGAGGAGATCCCTAGTTCAAGACCAGCCTCAGCAACTTAAGCACTGGGGAGGTAGCTCAGTGATAAAGCACTCTTGGGTGGAATCCCCAGTACCAAACAAAAGAGAGCAAACTAAAGAATTCTCTTTTTTCAGTTACACAAGGATGCCTCAAAGCAGACAAGGTCAGCAGGCAGCCAGCCAGAGAGAACCAAGAGCCTAAATAACCCATGGTCTGCGGAGACCTGGGAGAGACCGGGAAGAAACTGCAGGTTAGGCTTCCTCTTCTGAGTGATGCACCCTCTTCCCAGAGAGATGCGCTAGCTGGCCACCAAGGCCCAAAAGGTAAAAGGATGCAGAGGAAAGAAAAATACAGATGACACAGAGAGTGGGTGACTCCTCTTTAAATAAGGGCATGTGTACCTTCATCGTATACTCGCAGTTTTGAAAGGAAGATCTTTGCAATTATTCTGAATCTGCCAAAATATTCAAGGAGTCAGTAGCAGTTCATCAGCGGTCACAAAGTGCTTCGGGTAGACAGTGATCGAATTTCTCTTTCTCTTCCAGTGACAATTCATTGAGGTGCATTATGCTTTCTTATAAATATCTTTCATCACAGAAGAATCTAGTGAAGTATTTTTGTATTCGAAAATGAAGTGGACTCCAAATCCTCACCTTTCTCAGTAACTGAGCTAAAGTTTATGCATGAGAGTATTTCTTGTTATTGTTTTTTGCCCCCTCCCCTGACAACCCATATTGAGGCTAGAACCCAGGGGTGTTCTATCCCTGAGCTACATCCCAACCCTTTTTATTTTTTGAAACAAAGTCTTGCTCAATTCCCCAGGTTGGCTTTGAATTTGTGATCTGTCTGCCCCCATCTCCTGAATCATGGAAATTACAGACATGTGCCAGCCACTGTGCTCACCTATGCATGAGGTTTTAAGAAATGTTACAAGGATCTGGGTATGTGTTCTTTCTCCATTCTTCCATGGACAGAGAGGGCAACAGATCTGTTGATGTCCTCCCACCTCAAAATCACTCGTTTATGATTGCACAAACTAACACTATTTTACTGTAGGCCACCCCCAGACCTTGCTTGGATTATTGAAACAGTATGATAGCCAGTCTCTTCCCAGTCTCAAGTTTTCTTTTTTTTTTAATATTTATTTTTTAATTTTAGGTGGACACAAAATCTTTATTTTATTTTTTTAATGTGGTGCTGAGAATCAAACCCAGTGCCTCATGCATGCTAGGCAAGCACGTTACCACTTGAGCCACATCCTCAGCCCCCAGTCTCAAGTTTTCCATTCTCTGAAAGCAGGACACCACTGACGTTTTTGGTAGAAACTCCTTTCTTACACAAGGCTGTCTCTGCAGGGTATAAAACATCTGAGGCCCCAATTCATAACATACCAGTAACCCCTAGCCAATGCAATACCCCCAAAACACGTGCGGGCAGCACATACAGGGGCATCATGTCAAGCATGCCCAATGGGCCTGGAGACTCCCTAAGGCAGAAGGGTCACATTACTTCCCTGGTTAATGACTCTGTAAGATAAACCCTGCTCTTGTTCCCTGGCCATCTCTGCAGGATCATTTTTGCAAAGTCTTTTATAAGAACCCCAGTTTTATTGTGTGCATGTACAAATATGTAACAACAAATCCCACCATTATGTATAATTATAATGCACCAATAAAAAAAATAGGAAAAAAAAAGAACCTGAGTTCTTCTCTCAGGTTGCCAGCTCTGAAAGCAAGTCCACCTGCTTTCCCAGGCATTGGGTGAGGCCCAGAGGCAAAGTTGAGTAGGTAGGATCAAGTATAATGTGGTTCTTTATGTTAGCCTGTTAAAGTACTGCTGTGTTCACTAATTACACCAAGTTATTTAGGATTGTTAGAAGACGAAGCATAGAGCTAGATACACTGGGCTTTAGTCCTCAAGTACCCTGTGTGGGAAAAAACTCATTGTGTCATTCGGGAAGCATCCCTCTACCTCTGATCTCCAAACAGGAGGGTTATAGAGAGGCTTCTCCAAAGAGTAAAACCACCCTTTGTCCTGTTCACACTTTTAATGTCAATAAGCAATGGAAGAGTATGCAGTTAGGAGATTGTCCTCCCAATTACAGAAAGCTACAGTAAAAGTGCCTGTTACTCAATGTCTAAGGCAGGCAGAGTGGTTATTAGAATATGG